CAGCACATAAAGTCCAGGATGCGCTCCTATTGCTCATCAAGATGCAGATGAACGCGTTCGAGAGCGGGGTGTACGTGGAACTGGCCACCCCCGGGCAGCGTGAACCAAAGTGGCAGGAGGGCGAAAACATGAGGGTGAGGATCAGGGGCAGGAACATAAACATGCCATGTCCGCAAACTCGACCCCGCAGTATAGTGGACATCCTTCAGGGCAGGCCTTCGGGGTCGCATGCCATCCCGCGCAGTACAGGCCACCCCTCGCCACAGACTACTCCGCGCAGTATAGCGTGAAGCTCTGAACGCGAGGACTCACGCACCTTCGTTCTGGACGCGGTGTATACGTGCTGCTCCCAGAGGAGGGGAGGAGGGGGGGTCGTAGGTGGAAACGGGGGAGGGGTTGAAGGATAACGGACGGTCGGAAGGAACTGGTGAGTGAGTGAGTGGGTGCGTGAGGCAGTCAATGGTTGATGTAAATGGCGAGGGTCCCCCAACGTCCTATCTGATACCGACGAGAGCTTCGACAGAGACAAGTGCCACCCGAAAAAGATGTCGCACGCGGAGCCGATGCGGCTCAATTTGCGCCTTCGAAGGACAACGTGATCACCTGGTTGCAGAATCGTCCAGGAAGTAATTGAGCTGTCTACGCCACTGAGCGGTGAGAAATCAAGCTCCCCGCGTGACGCTACGGACCCCTCCCATACTGAGAGGTCGCCAAGGCGTCTATGCGGACAAGTATTCAGCATCACGCTGCCCCATGACACGCTTACATGCGCGTGGCCGCAAACTACCGCTCGTGCAGCCTAACTTTTGTGAACGTAGACCGCCACACTGCCTCTCGCAGGAGTTCTCTTCCAAGCAGGTCGCGCCTCAGGTGTCTACACGTTAGCGTGCAACCACACAACAGCATTGAGTTGACGCTAAGCGATTTAAAAAGTAGCACGCTGACAACCCCGCTGGACCTGTCGTTGTGTCAGCAACGAAATTTAGCATTCCACCCGAAGGTGTACAAGCGCCACGGTACCATGCGCTACACACGCAGATGGACTGCTCAACATTTGATCTCTCTTCTTCGTCGAAAGAGCATCCCGATCCATACGTTCGCAACGCTGGTGCAGCAGTCCCAAAGTCTGCCAAGCAACTCGCGGCGGCGAAAGCTGGCTCTGAGCCGTGGAGAGGCGAGGAAGGAGGAGAGGGATAACCGCAGCGGTAGGTCCGATTCGGTGCTCCTGTCCCTCGCCCTAGTCCCCCCCTTAGTCCTCCTCCTCCTCCTCCTTCTCATCCTCCTCCTTCCCCTTCTCTTCATTCTCATCTCCCTTCTTTCTCTGCCCCTCGTCGTCCTCCTGTCCTAGAACGGTCACATGCTTCGACAAGGGTATTGCGCGTTCAGGTGTTCGTCGTCCTGGGCGTCCTTCTCGTTTCTCCTCGCCATCCCCCTTCTCTTTCAACCCCCTGGTCCTCGTCGCCGTCGTCGTCCTCCTCCTCCTCCTCTTCCTGCTGTTCCTTTTTCCGCTCCCTCCGCGGATGCGCACCTCACCGTCCGCGCGGTCCCTGCCGCTCTCGCGAAAGGCCATGGTGAACCACGCCTGCTTTCCGAATTGCATCAAGTTCGGCCCTGGAGAGCCTGGGCCCAGGGGAGGAGGACGCGGAGGAGGAGGAGGAGGAGGAGGAGGAGGAGGCGGAGGAGGAGGAGGAGGAGGAGGAGGAGGAGGAGGAGGAGGAGGAGGAGGAGGAGGAGGAGGAGGAGGAGGAGGCGGAGGAGGAGGCGGAGGAGGAGGGAGGAGGAAGAAGGGCGGAGGAAGGAGGAGGAGGAGGAGGGAGGGGAGGAAGGATGAGGAGGAGGAGGAGGAGGAGGAGGAGGAGGAAGGAGGAGGAGGAGGAGGAGGAGGAGGAGGAGGAGGTGGGAGGAGGAGGAGGAGGAGGGAGGCGGGGGGCGCGAGGGGAGATGGGGGCGACGGAGGGGGGCAGGGCGCTCCACTCCAGAGGGGGGCACCCGGCCCTCTTGGCAATGCGCATGGATGCTTCTGGCAGAGACCTCTCCCGCAGACGGGCGACGCGCACGCCTCACGGTGGAGATTTCCCCTCTCAATGTGCAGCATCCGCCGTTCTCGGGCTCTGCGGCCGTGAACGAGAGGTGGTGGGCCCATTTTCCACCACTACCATATTTAGCAGGGGGAGGAGGAGGAGGAGGAGGAGGAGGAGGAGGAGGAGGAGGAGGAGGAGGAGGAGGAAGGAGGAGGAGGAGGAGGGGCAGGAGGAGGAGGAGGAGGAGGAGGAGGAGCTCCTCATCCTCCCGTCTCTCCCCCGTCCTACATATGGTGGTGGTGGTGGTGGCGCCAACATCCACGTACAGACTACAAAGCATCCACGTGAAATTCGCTTTGTTTTTCGCTCGCCGTTTCGGGGATTTGCGTTGACAGAAATCCACGCAAAAATCCGCTGCAACACGTCTGCAAGGTCGGCGCAGTGACAAGAGGGGGGTCGAGAGCTTCAGGGGTCGGCAGGTCGGATAAGATTCCCCGAGCCGTCGGGAGGAGAATGCTCACGGCCGGCCCGACGGGGCATGGCTCCCTGCAGTGGCCAGCGTCGAGAATCTGGTCTCGAGGGGAGGGCTGGGAGCGACGGTCGGCGCAGCGCAGCGTTGGTGCTTTCGGCGCCGCCTCCTCATGCTCATTCTGTCCCCCCTCGGCCCCGAGGAGAGCGGTGCCACTCTGGGCAGAAAGGGGCCACCTGGTCGCGCGCGTCGGAGATCGTCGCGGCAAGGGACATCGAGGAGGCGCGTCGCCTCCTCCTGCCCCCCTCTCCCCCTCCCGCATCCAGCCTCCTCTCCCTCCTCTTCCTCCCCCCCCCCCCCCTTCTCCTCGCTGCCTCCTCCCTTCTCCTCCTCCCCCCATCCACACCTCTCTCCTCCCCCTTCCTCTCCTCCTCCCCTCCTCTCCCCAACCTCCCCGCCTCAAAGGTTGCACAAGGTCAATCTCCCACACCCACCCTTCCATACATCAACGCAGCTGGTTCTCACGTTTATCGAGCGTTCCGCCACGGGCAGTTCGGTCAGATTGCCAGGGTGGCAATCTCTGATGGATGCTTTGTTTGCTCCATCGGAACTCCTCGCAGCCTCGACTCGACTGACAGACAGGATGAGATCGTCACCGAGACGGCAGGAACAACACATCACACTTGCGTGTTCCTTGGCGCGCAGGCTCGTTCCAATATTGACTGGCAGGGCGAGAAGAGGCGAACTCAGAACATTCTCCTTATGGAAGCTGGCTGGTGCGATAGCCCGCATACCCCGGCATCACGATTTATCTAGGGTGTGGGCTTACCCGTCTACACAGCCGTGACAAAAGTTTCTTCATTTTGCTATGATGAAGGTCTCTCCCATCCCTCTCAATCTTCCTCACATGACGTGATGCTGGGATCATTCAGCGGAGTAGTTTCCGATCCCGGAGACGTTCATGACTCTGTTACCCCAAACGGGATCGGAAACTACTGCGCATTATCGAGCGGGATGCGATTGCGCGCGGAGCAGTTTTATCAAAACTACTCAGAATTTCTCCGCATGAACGCGTCATTCCAAAAGGCAAATTGACAGAAACTTTCGCCACGGCGATGTATGGCCGCTGGCGGAGGTGGTATGTGGCGCGCAGGCAAGATCATGGTTGCGCCAGGTTCGGCGATGAGATCCGGCAGAGAGTTGACATTCGGTGGAGTCTTGCGCTGGTTCGCCGCAGCCTTCTTCCTTTTTCTCCCCAAACAGATGTGACGCACAACGATGTTAGCGTCAGGTTTGGTCGAGGAGGGGGGCGGGAGAGGAGGGGGGAGGAGGAGGAGAAGGTAAAGAGGGGGAGGAGGAGAAGGTTGAGAGCGGGGGAGGATTGAGAGGAGGGGGGAGGATAAGGAGAAGGGGGAGGAGGAGGAGGAGGAGGAGGAGGAGGAGGAGGAGAAGATGAAGGACGCGGGGGAGGGAACGCTCTCTGCCTTGAGCCTGGAGCGCGCCGACCCAGGCGGCTTGCTTCAAGTGTCGGCCTGCTCGGATCTTATCTTGGACTTTGGAGGGGCGCTCGCAAGCCGGCTGGAGAGGCCGGCCGGCGCTCGCCGGCCGCGTCGGCGGGCCGCCGCGGGCGTCCGCCGCTGTCGCGGGCGGCGTGTTCGCGGGCGTTCCATTCTCGGTCCAAAGGGTCGCCCAATCTTCCCTCCATTCCTTCCTCCTCCTCCTCCTCCACCACCAGCGCCTCCTCTTAGTCCACCTCCTCCTCCTTCTCCTCCTCCTCCTCCTCCTCCTCCTCCTCCTCCTCCTCCTCCTCCAGCCGTTCCGAGCTGCCGAGGAGCGCCTCTTCGTCCAGTGCCCATGTGAGCCGGGGCGCACGGGGCAGGCGACGAGAATTCGCCCCAAGGAGCGGTCCGCCTCCTCCACCTCCTCAGAGTCGGCGGCGAGCGAGGGGGGGGAGTGAGAAGGAGAAGGCCTATTCAGAAGGCGGCGGGACTCCTCAGAAGCCGTCGCGCCTTCTGACAAGTTTTCTTTGTCTTCGGGGAAGGCTTAGAAAACTTCTCAGAAGGCCTTGGGACTTCCGAGCCTTCTGAGAAGTCCCGCCCCTTCTCATTTCCCCCCCTCGCTCGCCGCCTACAGAGACCTTCACGAGGTCGTCTCGGGATCGTGCAAACAGATGGGACCGAACAGGATGGAGCACAAGGTTCAACCCTCAGGCCACCCGTGACCCAAAGACCTTGTGGGCTTTCACTGAAGACAGGCTGTCGCTGATTGACGTTCGTGTCCGGGAAGGGTCGCATGAGCCTCCGGATGTGGGTGGTGTGATTCGTCTAGTTCGGGGATCCCGCCGTGTGACTGCGCGTCGGTCGGTCGGTCAGTGAGTCCCCTGCTGAGTCGCCTATGGAGGGGGGGGGGGGGCGACGACTCGACAGCCCCGCCAGGGCGAGGAGATCACGATCTCCTTCCTCGGCCCGCAGGAGCGCTCCGCCGCCGCGCGGGCCAGGCTGTTCCGCCAGGCGCGCGGGGGGCCACCGTGCAGTCCCTCGAAGAGGCCTTTTGGCATCGCTCGGGCGCACCTTTTTGCTCGGCGAGGCCAGCGCTCGGAGCGTCTTTTCATGTGTTCGGGAGGATGCGTTCGGATGGTCGCAAGACGTTCATCAGTAGTTCAGAACCACCTGTCCGCGAACTCCAGGGCCCCCCCGAGGGCCCTGTGCACGGCCGCGCGGCGGAGGGGACACAGCGATTTTCAAAGCGAAGGGTTCGTAAACGATTCGGGAACACATGTTCGCAAGCGATGCTCGGGTCGGCCCCAGGGCCGGCGCTCACGTGCGGCGAGCACATCTCTCAGGAGGGGAAAAAACACACAGACACAATTAATCGTCCACTCCCAGGAAAATATGGGAAAATATGGGGATTGGGGGGGAAGACAAAAAACCCAGAAAATATAGGAAAATAGGGGGAATCTGGTTATTTGTGTGTATTTATTTGTGTGTCCCAGGGCCCCTTCATGCCGTGGCGCGATCCCGCGGAGACGCGGCCGCACGGGTGCGCCCCCGCGCGGGGCGCCCGCGAGCACGAGCACGCCGTGTTTGCGGGGTCGCGGCCCAAGGGCCTGGTCCGCGAGGCCGCGGATACAGATCTTTTGCTCGCCCGCGATCTTTTCTTTGCGAGGCCACCGCCAGAAAGTCTGGACCATCCTGGATGACTGGGATCATCTGGGTACGAGGCCGAAACGTACAGGGGGAAAGTTGTCGTCCGAGCGATGGCAAGGGGGAGGCTGCCTCTTGCCCGTCTGTCTCTCCCCCATCCCTGGGCACGTCCTTGGACGCCTCTTGTGGTCATCTTGGACGCCTCTCGGGGCACAGCAAAAACGATTTGGACAAACCGGAGGACACTGGGGTACAAGCTTCAACCGCTCAATCGTGCCATGTGTTTTGCCCTCTTTTTTCCTTCCGCTTTCCCTTCTCCTCCTCCTCCTTCTCCTCCTCCTCCTTCTCCTCCTCCTCCTCCTCCCCTCCGTATCCAGGTTGCCTCCGGTCGCGTCCCATGTCTCGCAGCCGTTGGGACCCGGACACCTGAAGCCTCCAGCCGCAGACGCAGGCGGCGACAAAATGGAGGCAGCCTGCCCGCTGGCGACCGTCGCTGGCCGAGGCTCACTGTGGTGTGCGCCCCAGGCGGTTGAGTGGCGCCCCCCTGCGAGCAAGAGCCAGCGGCGCGCGTGGCGGAGGCTGCTTCTGGCGACAGTCCGCCAGGCTGCCCCGGATTTCTGCTTCTGGCCCGGTCCGCCCTGCGACGGCGACGACAGCGACAGCGCGGCGTACATCGAGGCTTGGCTGTCGGAGCCAGTGCATCAGGCTGAGAGGTGACAGATGCTGTCGAAGGTAGAGCCCGACGTCAGCAGGCTGCGACGAACGTCCCAGGAACCTTGCGAACAGTTGAAGGCGAAGCTAGAGCCCGACGTGAAGGCTGAGCCCAACGACATCAGCTACAGTGCGAGGTTCGAGACCAGCAGTGGCGTTTTTTTGTGAGAAGTGCTTGGAGAGTCGGGCAGTTCAGGCGCCAATTTGCGAGAATCTGAAGACAAAGCTGGAGCCAGATGTCTTTAACAATTTTTGGAAGCAGCGCTTGTGAGAGGGGAAAGCAGGAACACCAGTCTCTGAAACCCAGCGGGATCTGGAAGGCGAAGGCAGAACCCGATAGCATCAGCAACCACACGAGGATCATGCATGTGTTCAGGGGGAATCGATGCTAGAGCCTGGTGTCGTTCGCTCCTGCGCCGAGCCGCAGGCATGCGAAAATGGCAAGCCTTGGCAGGCGGAACAAGCATCATCCTGCGAGAAGAGGGAAGCGAATCTAGAGCCCGATGCCGCTAACCTCAGTGATGTGGGCCGCGAGTATGAGACGGTCGAGCAAGCGCAGAAATCAACACTCACTGGGAAGTGGAAGGCAGGGGTAGAGTCCGTCACCACGAGCTACAGCGCAGATGTTCGGACTTGCGAGAAAAGGCAGGCGACGCTGGAGCCTGTCATCGTTGGCCACTGCACTGGGTATCGGGCGTGTGCGAAGGGCAGTGCTGTCCTCGGCGATGGAGCTTCTCATCTGGCGCGGGAGCATGAAGATGTGGACGACGTGATCAAGATAATCAGAGATACCAACGGGCTCGCGATGCGTGCTACTGCGGCGAAGGGGGTCGCAGGAAACAGCTACCGCAGCCACATATCATCCTGGAACACGGGCTGCTCATCGGTGTGGCGGAGCCGTCTTGGGTATTAGTTGTTCCCCTATGGGTGCTGGGGTTCCTGGTCGTGCTTATCTGGCTGCTTGGGCGCCTGGTCGTCGCGCAGCTGCTGGGCGTGAGGGTGGAGGTCATTAGCGTTCTTACTGTGGAGGAGAAGCTGGTTGTCATCTCCACGGTGCTGTTCTGGGAGATGGAGCTTTTCAGCTTGGACGCGATGGCGTGGAAGACGTGATCAAGCATATCCGAGAGGCCAAGGGGCTCGCGGTGCAGGCAGTGATGGCCACGGCTGCACAGGCGACACAGGCTGCAGCAGTGACAGCAAGCAGAGTTCATCCTGGAGCAGGGGCCGTTCTTTGTGCTGGTGCTGGCCCTCCTGTTAGTCATGGCGACGCAGCTCTCGACGGTGGAATCCCTCGTCTGGTTGCAAGGGTCCCTGTTCTCACGGTGACGCTGTCCTTGTCGCTGGAGCTCTCCAGTCTTATTCCGGAGCTCGGCGGGCGACCGAGTCGGCCCAGCGCGAGGAGGTCAATGCGATTTTCGCGGACGCGGGGGCAGTTCTGTCGGCCATAGCAGCTGAGGAGCCCTCCGCACCATCTGTCAACATGTCAGCCCCGAGTGCAGGCATATGTGGAGTAATTGAATTGTTTTAAATGAGTGCAGCGGAGGGCGCTGCGTCGAACCCTTCACATATCCCATTGCTTCTGGCGCGACCGCGCGTCCGTCAGAGACGGAACGACCTTCCTGTGGCTTGCTGGTCCTCTTGGCGCTGTGCATTGAAGCCGCGCTGCTCGTGGCGTTCTGGGGAGTTCATTTGCATGGGTTCGCTTCGCGGTTGGTCCCATCTCAAATCGTCTCCCCTTCCGTAGCCATGTTGGTTGCAGGCTGTCCTGTTCACAGTGAACCACGTGGGTGCTCATGTTCCGCGGCTTGCATTCGCTTTCTCGAGAGGCAGTCCGCCCTGCTCTCTCGCAGTGCGCAGTTCGTTCTGTCCGCGGACTGTTGGCTTTGGCGGTGCAGCTGCGCGCTGCCACTTCGGGCCAGTCTCAGGGTGGCCAGGGCGCGCGCGAGCCCGTGGCTCGTCCTCGTCTTGTTTGCATGTTGGGTGCTTGGGCAACGTTGGCGGGTCAAAAGCAGAGCGCGCGCCTGGTCGCAGCAAAGACGTTGCTGTGTCGTCGCTGCTGGAGCGATCGCGCAGGTGGGCGCTGGTGGACTGCAGATTCTGCCATCTCATGCAAGCTGTGCGTCGACGGCCGCGCGAAGTTCCTCGACACCGCGGGGGTGTTTGCGACGATGCGGGCGTCTCTGGCCAAGGAGCTCGACGAATGCCGGCCACTCGGCTCAACGCGAAGCCGCCGCCCATCCAGATCCAGAGGGTCGCGCAGCAGATGGTGGGCGCCGAAAGGCGGGCGGCCACAAACCAGAAGCAGTTGGATGGTTTCGATAAGAAGATTTATGTTTTCCAAAAGAAGAGGATGAGGTGGCGCAGCGTCAGGCGTCGATCCCGGTGGAGCTCGCGGGCCCCAAGGCCCGGCGGGCCGGGCCCAGGTGGCGGCCATTTTCCCGCAGCCAGCCACCGCGGTCAACTGCGCGGCGGCTTCCCTCGACGCCTCGTTTCCGCCCACGTGCGCGTCGACAGTGCAGCTCGAGCACGTGGCCAGCAGGGTTGGAGCCGACCAAGGGCCGGCGCGCGAGCTGGCGACGGTCGGCGCGCGGGCGCGCGAGGCTGCCGCCAAGGCGGTTCAGGCCACCGTCGAGGCTGATGTGGCTCAGCGGCGTGCGTGAGCTGAAGTTGCGGCAGCTGCGGCGCAGCGTGCTGCCGATGGCGCGCGGCTTGCTTCCGGGCCAGCTGCTGGCGGCGGTGCGGCAGCTCCTGCGCCCGAGCCCAGAGCGGGGCGAACCCCCTCCAGCATCGACGGCCCCGGGGCCCCCGAGTCTTTCCTGGAGGCCACGAGGGCGCATGTGTCAGAGGGCGAGGAGGAGCTCAAAGGAGCGGTCGAGAGGCGCAGCGACGGGCTGCCAGACTTCGCGGAGAGGCCCCACATCAGCGCATGGCGCGCTCGCGTTTTTGGCGTGTGCGTCGGCGGCATCGGCGGCTGGATGCGACTGCGGCGGCGCCGCGGCAGGTGGGGGTTTTGCCCCGGCGCGGCCGGCCGCCCGCAGTGCTCGTGAAATGCCTCGTCGCATCCACCAGTGTCTGGCGCGGTGAGTGCCAGGCGCCGATGGCGAAGGGGTCGTTCCAGTCAGAGATTCCACTTCTTGCGCCCGGACATCGCGCGGGATTGGGCAATGCCCTGCCCGTCAGCCGCGCGCTCGGAGGCTTGGTTTCAGCGGCGCGCGCGAGGCGGCGCCTATTTACAGATGAAGGGGGCGCTCATGGGATCTGTGCGGTCCGGGCAAGGGCGGGGTCCAGGTCTCGCTCCCGCCTGGGAGAGAGTCAGGCGTCCTTGTCCCAGGATGTGCTGTTTCGGGTCGCGTCCATTCGGGCGCGTCTGGTGGCGTCGCCCGCGTGGCTGTGTCTGTGTGCGACGCAGTCGGTCTCAGTTCGACTAACCTCGCCATTCCCCGCGAGTTGGGTGTCTTTCTGCTCGAGATGTTCAGCCGAGGTATTGCGCCGATTGTTGGTGTAGTCTTCGCTGCCGTGCCGCCTGCCTTGATTCTTTGGTTCAGATCGATCGGCGGCGGTTCGCGCGTAGCCACGAGACCACCTGCGGGCAGACGCTGCCAGGTGATAAGTGCGATTTTTCCGGGGGGGTGCTGGTCTGCTCGCGCGCGATGGTG